CAGCCACAGGATTGAAATCAGCGGTGGTCTAGGACCAACAGTTGGCAAGATTTTACGCATCGGTTTGATGGGAGTCAACGCGCGAACTTACATCGTCGATCGCGTACTTTCTGTCCTCGACGGTGAACTGCAACACGCGCTGAAAGCGAAGATATGAGATCACGAGCGTGAATTCACGCTTTCACGTTTTGATAATTACATCAAATGTGTTAAATGTGGATAAAATTACGTCGTGTGATTTCAAGGATTGCAAGGCTGCTCTACTTATTCAATAGCAATAATAATAATAATAATAATAATAATAATAATAATAATAATCGATATTTAATTAATAAATCGTTTTGGCACAGTACAGAATAACATTTCGATCTCCATTCTCTACAAAACCATCGAAGTGTGCGTCATGCCTCTCTCAGCAGCCTATCTTGTCGCAGAAATACAAAAGATTTATTTAATTAAAAGTTATCGCGTTGTATAAAAAGAAAAAAGAAACAGTAGTTCCGGTCGCCGCTCGCGTGGGACACGCGGGAGAAAAGTGAATCGTTACATCTTAAGGAGCGCGTCGAACGGACGTCGTACTTGAAAACGCGCGCAGGAGGAATAAAATACAGGTTCGTCCCTCTGTAGCGATGATTCCGCATACGTCGCATATTATCGCAACGTGAACATCACATCTCGCGATTGTCGCGGTGAATTAACCTTCCTGCTCCATATTTCGGCACGACGATCAGCACAGTGTCGCGCAAAACGATGCGCCTCGATGCGATCCGAGAATATATCCGTTCCACACCTATTTCTCTCCCCCAAGATTTCACGCAACGGCAACCCTTCCACGCGACGTAACGTAACGTCACGTGTACGCCGCTTCCGCTCCGTTTTTTCCTTCGGTGAGTTTCGTTAACTCGGTCGAATAAAACGTGAACACCGAGCTCCTCACCTATTTCTCCGGCGTAGACGTGAGCGTTATGGAGGAGACCGCGTTGATAGACGACCACGTTTAAATTAAAACAGTGTGAATATCATGAAGCATGTCGGTACAAGAGCATGCCGCCTATCCAAATAATTAATGTTAAACCTCCTTTTAAATATCAAGACCGATAGAGCTCGCGCATGGAGGAGGAAGGGGGAAGGGGGAATGACTTTAAATAATCGTGACGATAAAGCAAATCGATAATAAACATAAAGTACGAGCGTGGGGGAGGGGAGGGGGAGGGGGAGGGGATAGAGTTTAGGGTAGCGCTAAACGTTACGTCGTATAAATAATATTACCGGTGTACAACGTTGACGCGCGTCGCCAGAGTAAGATCAATTCCAGGCCGCTCGCACTTATGTATTTACAAAAGAAAAACGTTTGTGTGCACGCGGCCGCCACGCCGCGGGCGACGTCGACGTCAGCTGACTACGTATGTATTCGTACCGCCGAGTATAAGGCACCTACGGTAAACGATGAATCAACGCCGAATCGCGCGAGATATACGCACGAATAACATTTCATCATGACATGACATCGGAAATAGCGAGCCATGCCTGCGTCGCGGTCATAACAATTGAGCCTAAAATCGAACGCCACGGCATTTTCCTTAAATCTAACTTAGGTGCCTGCGCACCTCGAACTGCAGCCGTATCCCAGCCAGATTCCCTCGTCGACTGATCGGCCATTAGATTAAGATTACATTGCTTCGGGATAACCATTCGATACCACGTTCACGGGGCGGCAAGGGATTTCGTCCAAACTTCCGATCAACTTCATCACGATTAACTTCCGAGGCGATATCTGTTTCGCCAATAAAGATGGAGATTATTAAAAATTCTCGATTAGAAGGAATTCCCGACTAGAAGGAAAGAAATTAAGGATGGAAATTTGGTCGCTCTTCGAAACTCATTCTCTTTCGAAGTTGATTCTTCAAATTGATCAGAATTCAGGATCGAAATCGTTTTCTGTCGCGCCTCCTCTCTCGGAGTATCTTATCGTTTTATCTTCGCGCCTGTTCTCCAAAACTTATAAAGAAAGAGCGATTACACAAAAAGGAATACGATTAAATAAGTATATGGCAAATCGTCCGTATCCGGTCCACATTGAAGCTGCTGTTTTGGAAAAAATTTAAAGTCATTGCGACGAACGACTTCCGTTTCAATTGCAGTGAAAAACTGTAAATCGATCAAAGAAATTGCAAACAGCGTCTTGTAAGTTTGAAAAAGTTGCGGAAATTCGAATAATCGACAATTGCAAATGAAACGTGAAGATCCATTCACTCACTTAGGACCCGGTACGGTCCGATTCAAATAAATTAGTCCTAATAATAAATATAGCTTAAATATTACGTACTTACAGCAATGAGTGTTACAACAAATATTACCGATTATTCATCGCGTGTCGCGACGACGTTTCTCTCTCTCTCTCTCTCTCTTTCTCTCTCGTCGTGTTTTCGCCGAGTGTATGCAATGTACAATATAAATATATCCTTTACATCAGAGCGATAATTTAGGCTTACCACACAACAATCGCGAGATAAGGAGAATTAAAAAGTGACGCAGACAATTCTAAGGCAATATCAATTACAAGACAGTAATTATAAGCAATAGCGATAGTAATGCTATTAATAGAGCTGACAGTATAATTGTAATAAAATAATAAGTTGGAGTTTATTAGTAAGTATTAGCAAAATCGCGTAATAAATTGATGCCGCTGTCGGAGGTTTTTCAGTCTTCTTTGGTTGCTGGGTAACTCGAAGAGGTTAATGGGTACAGCAGGGCACTGTAATACCGCCGCGAAATTAAAAAAAAAAAAAAAAAAAAAAAAAAAAAAAAAAAAAAAAAACTAAAATCTTCCTA